AAAAAGGAATTTCCACCATACAAGGTCGATATTATTATGTGCAAAGCCAGTATGATTATGTGCCTTCAGCTTCTGCCTTTAACTTCCAACCTGCACTAAGAACTGGACTGGTTCCTGTTGGTGGTCTGGCAGCTGCTGTGCTTCTACATGACTACATGACTTGCTCTCTGACTACATGACTTGGCTCCAGTGAGGAAGGTGATTTCCTGTCTTGTGTTCACCTACTGCCTCTGGTCATGAAGTGAAACTTCAGACCAGGATGATGGATGTTCCTGCTGGGATCATGAGTCTGGAGCTATCTTCACGACGGAGCAGACTCATGGCAACCAAGTTACACATATCCCAGGACATACAGCTGTACTTTGGACCTGAGCTTCGCTGCAATTACCAAACATCAGGATTATCCCAACGCTAATACATGGCAGTGGTTCCTCTTCACCCTGCCAGCTACATTGTGGACAGGTCCTTAGTGTCCTACGAAGCTATGCACAGGCCTCTCAAACTCTCCGCATTTTCTCATGACTCATGAGAGTCTCAGGGACTGGACAGGAGTGAAAGTTTTCTTGATTAGCTCCAGCTGCTAACCAGAAATTCTTCCCTGACCTGGAAGCACCAACTTGTTTAAAGTGTTTCTCCTGTTACCAAGTGAGTTGCTGCAGGTTTGGTGAGATGGGAGGGAGAAATGTTTTCTGGAGATGTAATCACTGATCTAGTTATGCTTTGATCTAGTTATGCTTTATTTGTATTTGTAATTTACATGCTGCTGAACTGCAAGTTTGCAAGAGAATCCTCTTGAGTTTTATTCATTTGACCAAATAAGAAACTTTTAAATAAAGCAGCTCCTAGCTGAGCAATGATATACGTTCTACAAGGGTGAGGACTCCAGAAGAGTGCTGGGTCCGCACCAAAATGGGAAACATAGATTTCAGGGCAATATAAGGCAACTATTCTGTTCTTCCTTTAAAAATATATCTATTTTAAATTTGGCTAGGACAAATCTAAACAAAAAGACAAATACAACTGTGTGTATTTCTCAACCTCAGCTTTTCATGTGGTCTGAATAAATCACACTCTTCCATGCAAATGGTCTCATGTCTCATTCTTGACTCAGTTTCTCTACCATTGAGTTTACTGGACCTGATATGTAACTGTTTGCCTCCCTATCAATTCCCAATCTCTTTAATCTCTCCACACAAATATTTATTCTGTTTTCATTCTCTTTCTCCTCTCCTCTCCTCTCCTCTCCTCTCCTCTCCTCTCCTCTCCTCTCCTCTCTGTTTTTTCTTCTCTCTCTCGTTCACTTTCTCTCTTCCTTTTTCTTCTCTTTTCTCTCTCTCTTTCTCTCCCTTTCTCTCTTTTTCTCTATCTCCAGTGTTCTCTCATTCTTATTTCTATTTCCTTTTTTTTTCTGTTCATCCCAATTATAAAATGTGGAGTATGATCATTTTCCCTGAAGGCAGACTGTCTTGAGTCTCACTGAAAACAAAATATGGGAAGTGGTGCTCACCATTATTTGATTTCATGCATGCAGCCGCTAGGAATATCATAGCCATTTTGATTTAGAGCACTGTGGTTTTAGCCTTCCTGAAAGGCATAATAGCTGATAGCCATTTTTGAGTTAGCAGAAAATTTGCATGTTTATCACCAAGGCTTATGGGACATTTGCAATAACCTATGTCACAGAAATAAGGATAAAATCACGACAACTGATAATGTCTGCTCTTTTATCCTTCTTTTAGGTTGGCCTCTCTCTGCATGATCATTCTGCTTGAAATGTTAATCTGGTTTATATTTTAGTGCCATATAAAAGTGTTCCTGGATCAGGGAAACCTGTGAAGCAGTAACCACAATAGTGCATGTTCCTAAATTAAGCATCCTTCCTTGCTGCTGCACTGCAACTCCATCTGGGGACTTGGGCAGTGGATAACTACACGACTGCACTAAAGAAGGTAAAAAAGAGCATATGGCTTCATTGGGATTTAGTCCTAATGCTTTCTAAGGAATTACTGTAGCATTTCTTTTAGAGAAAAAAAGTTCTCCGTCTATCACACATAGAAAGAAGCTGCTGAGAGATTTATGTAAGCTTATTGCAATTGTCTCCACATTATTGATCCTGTGGCTGTTCTGTGAGGCAATTGCAAACAATAAGTCATCATTGCATGTCAGTTGCAAAAAGAAAAAAAAAAAAAAGAAGAAAAAGGAAAGGGAAGTGGGCGTGCAATGTGAATACAGATTCTGACCTGCTTTCTGTGCCTCTGAGCATCAAGATAAATTCAAGCATCAGCAGCCCAAACCTTGAGCCCTATACAGTGATATAACTACACAAAAAATGCAGTTTACTGCCTCATTTTTAATTCTGCTGCTTCGAGCAGAGCCATTGCATTATAGTGCTGATGTATTGGCAATGCTGCTGTTTGAAATGCCGCTAATGCTAAAAATATAATACAGGACTATGCTTCTACTACAGTGACAAGTGGATAACGTATCAAGGAGAAAACTACTTTAACGGAAGTATGTATGGATAATGCTAAATAGAAGCACAGAAGAAATTCAGGTATAGGCTGTAAGATTATTTCTTTTGCCAAGTAATAGTGTTTTGTGCACACTGGCATTAAGCAAACAATGGGCATGTCTGATATCTTTGCTGGAGTTATCAATGAAAATATTGAAGGATGTCTCTGTGAAGAGATCTGAGTATCATCAGTACTTAAATACTTCCTGAAGAATCATTCATCGTTTTAACTGGTGTTTCTTTTATGCAACCAAACTAGAATAGTTAATGCTATAAAATATGTTGCATTGGATGCCAAGTGATAAGGAAGTGCAAGAATAAAGCACTATCCAAACCTATTCCTGAAGGAGAAGCACGTACAAATACGTAACCCTTTCACAGTATTGAGTCTCCTGTTAAAAGCTGGTATGTAAGAACCAAAGACCTGTATTTAACTGCAAGTAGAACAAATTGAAATTAAAATCATTGGAAAACGAACAGAGTTAGAAGGGACCTGAAGAGTTCTACCTTGAGTTGAGAATCGAAAGATTTGTGTAGCTTGCTCCTAATGGCTTCCCCAGGCAATCTCGTCCAGGGTTTCTCTACCTACAGTGATAACGAGAACAGAATTAAGTCAGAAGATACTTTCTGGGCACCCCTCCATAACATGAAATATATTTAACGCCAGAAAGACTTTATATGGTGATATGTTTTAGCAAATGTAAATGTTTCCAGTCTCTAGCTACTTCCATCAGCATGAAATGCAGCCCTTTCAAGAACTCTTTGCCGTAGGAACTAATTAGCGCTCTGAAATTTGAACTGCTTAAATGCATGGTTATTTGTATTATTCACGTTTGTGCTCCTCCACCACTCCTTTATGAAAGAAATTTTACTGTCATCACCAGCTGCCATGAAATAGGATTTACTGATCGTGTTTCTGGGTTCTCAGAGCTAAACCATGTCTTTAATTCATATAAAATAAACCATATTATTTGATATAAGCTCTGTTTGTTATTTAAATATCATCAGATTGTGTAAGAAAGAAGAAATCATTTCAAGGCATAATTTGGATAGCTTGTTAGAGTTATGAAGTGCTGTTGATGATACATTAAAGAAAGGTAATTAAAGGAATTAGTGAAGTACTAGATATGAACGTTTAAATTCTTTATGCAGTAAACTCATTTTGGGTTGTAATAAACTTTGTCTTTACAAATGAAATACAGCACCTGGTTTAATTGTGCTATGTATGTGCGATATACCTATACACTCTTTGCTTCTGGCTATTCCTGGGGTACCTTGGAGAGCCAGAGAATAAGGTCATATAGGGGAGGGCTCCATATATGGAGTCTCTTTATGCATTTTGGTCATCTCCTGTTGGTAAATACCCTGAAGGAGAAAACATAAAATACAAAAGTTTCCTGGGTATTCAGCAGGGCTGGTTGCACAGTACAATGGTATTAAAATAGTTTCTGTTCCTCTCCACTGTGGCTGCATTAAACCTTTCCATGACGCACTCAAGGAGTTCTTTGACCTTTCCTTTCTTCTTGCGCCTTTCTTTTCCTGCCTTTCTCCTGAACAAGAAAAATCCCCTCCCAGCTCCAGATTTTCCTGCAGGTTCCTGTGAAGCTCCTGGTACTGAGGGTGCAGAAGGGGAAGACACGGGGACCAAACGTGCCCTAGGGATAGTGCTGCCCTCCATGGCTCTTGTCGTCTAAGCGGGGGGGGGCACCAGCACCACGTGGCCTTTGTCACTGAGGCTCTTGGCTCCCTGTGACAACAGGGGGGCACTGAGATGCTGAGGCTGGCTCTGCCATGGCACCAGGGGACCTGTCAGTGGAGAGAGACAGGCAAGGGCACTCCGAGGGCGGCTGAGCCAAGAGGGGTGATCTTGGCATCTCCTTATAAAGCGGCACCAGGAATATTTCAGGTTGCAGATCAATTTCAGGTTGCACCGGGACTATTTTGGGTTACACCAGAACTACTTCAGGTTGCACCAGGACCATTTGGGGTTGCAGTAGATCGGTTGCATTGGGACTAGTTTGGGTTGCATTGGGCCAATTTCGGGGTTGCCCCACGACTACCCCAGGTCGCCCTATGAGGTCTGCAAGGCGCTGAGGACGAGACGTGCATCTCCCCCGGGCGCGCCCCAGGGGGCGTGGCCTCGC